AGTACTGCACCTTTATTTACTCTTTGAAAGCTTGCTACTTCTGCCATTTTTAAAGATATTTTGAAAAATCATTTTCACGGACAAAGAAGTAGAAATGCTTCTCTTCTATGCTCCAAGTAATTGTACAGGAGCGAAAACTAAAAGAGGAAAAAACAAATTCTCAATCTCCTGTTTTATCACATCTATGAAACAATTGATGAAGTGAATCAATACCAACAAAGGCAGAAGCAAGTCTGCCCAGGACAGCAGTATTCACAAACACTATATATTTTACTCTTAGAGACACTTTTGTCATAAATATTCTTGTCAATTATCTTAAATTCTTGTGGTTCAATTACAAATTGTAATACCAGGTCCAACTGCGCTTGGGGAGTCACAAAAACAAAACCTTTGATAGCTCATAATTGCCTGCTTGCTCTACAAGGTAGCTAAAATTTGTGTACCTCTGCCACCTTACATATGCTTCAGGCATTATTTATAACATAAACACCTTCCCTCTCTACTAACATCCTATGGTTTTTGCTAGGTTCATAACCAGATTATATCATCACTAAAACTCTCATGGCCTTTACTGAGGTCAGGACTTCTGGACTGCTTTTGGAGAGAATCACAGATGTTCTTTTAAACAACAGTGAGATACAGTTCTTTACTACTAGCAGTGAAAACTGCTTTTTACTACAAATTAGCCTTAGGTAGTTATGTAGAATAAACTAACTAGAATTTGGCCAGTAGTTGGAACAAGCATACCTGATTCTTTGGAAATGTGCTGCAGGCTCTTTAATATCCACACGTGATCATTGTGCTAATACCTAACTCACGTAATGTGCTTTACAAAGGAGGTGGATATCATGATCCCCTGCTTGGTAGCAGTATTTTAGGTATTTCAAGAGATACTAAATAATTTTTCCCTCCAAAGCTAAACAGGGGCGTATTTGAATCCATAGCAACTCTGAGTTTTGCAGTCGGTGCACAAAAATGGCTGTATGGTTCAGCGTATGATCAAATCTGGTTCTAGGCACCAGCCCCCACAGCTCTACAGCTGTCAGTAGTAACAGCCATGGCTTTAAACTGATTGGAGGGGCAGGTTATTTTTTTTGATGATGAAAGTTTCAGGCCCAGTCGCTGCTGACAACTGTTACAGACTGCATCGGCCCGCAACACAATAAATAAAATGTATCACAAGCGTGACAACTGCCTGTCCTGATTGTAGCCCTTTACTCCTGTCTTCCTGTTTCTTTTTCACGGAAAGAAGGTTGGAAGGAGGCAGGATCAAGCATACTTTGAGCATCCTTGGCAAATGTTTGTCTAAACCAGGGGTTGGCAATCTATGGTCCACACAAAGTGATTTGCAGGCATAGAGAAGAGCTAGTCACTAGCTTTCTTGTAACATCTTTTCACATACTAGAGGATGGTTAACATTGTCTGCTCTTTCCTGAGGAAACTGAGTTTTCCTCAGAGGCAATGTTTTCCAAGCCTCTTTGTATTTTTCTTCTGTTCTGGGCTTGTTCCAGTTCATCTGTGTCTTCAAGCATGATGCCTAAAATTGGACACAGTATTCTAGTTGAGGTCTCAACAGCAGTGAGCAGGGCCAAATAATTACCTTCCTTGTCATGCATACAGTGTTAATACATTCTAGAAGGAGATTGACCTATTACACAACAGCATCACATGTTTGACCAGTGTGTAGCCTGTGATCCACTCTAACAATCCACTGCAACCCCCAAATTATTTTCTGCCAAACTGCTGCCTGACCAGTTATTCTCCATGTCACAGTTGTGCACTTGATTTCTTTTTCCTAAGTAAGGTGCTTTGCACTTGTCTTTTACAGAATTGCATTTCAACCAGGGGTTGGCAACATATCAAGCCAGAGGGCTTTCTCTGCTCTGGGGCTGAGGCCAAGCAGTGGTGGTCTGCACTGGGGCTGGGCAGCTGGTACTCTTTGGCTTGTGGCCTGGATGCAGCTTCCAGTCACCAGGCCTTGACATAGCTCTCCAGTGCCCAGCCCACCATGAATGTAGGTAACCCCCCCCCCACTGTTGAACGCTGCTGGAATGCCACTGAAGCCCGCTGGCCCACATTATATCAGAGCCAGGTTGCTGCAGCCTGCAGCTCAGAAGGGTTGCCAGCTACTGATCTAGTTTATTTCCTTCCATTTCTCCATTTTTTTCAAGATCATTTTGAATTCTAATCCTGGCCTCAAGGACTCTAACCCTGTCCAGTATCATTGAAGATAATGAGTAAGGTTGGAACCAGGTCAGACCCTACAGGACCCCAGTGGGACCCTGCTTTAAGTGCCTTCCCAGTCTAGACAGCAAACCTTAGATTGCTGCTCTCTGAGCTCTGTTGTTCAACCAGTCGTGTGCCCTCATTTTGGTGATTTACATTTACACTGTAATTTATTAACTTAAAAGAATAACAAATTACACCATAGCAGGCACCTTACTAAAATTAACATATACCTAGTGCTTTTCCATTATGCACTAGGAAAGCTATCCTATGAAAAAGAAAATTAGATCAGTTTGATATTTGTTGCTACATTCATCAAAACCCATTCAAGTTGTTTTTTTAGTCTCAATAATTATTTTTTTTAGCATCTTAGAAAAGTAGGGCTGTAGGGGACCTTAGGAGGTTATGTAGTGCAAGCCCCTGCTCAAGAGAGGATCATCCTTAACTAAATCAGCCCAGCCAAATGTGCACTAATAATCTTTGAAGGAAAGAGATTTCACAACCTGAATAGGTAGCCTGATCCAATTCTTTAACCAGCTTTGTAAGAACATTCTTCCGTATATCCAACCTAAATTTTCCTTGCTGCCATTTAAGACCATTCTTCCTTATCCTGTCCCCTGCAGCCATAGAGAGGTCTTATCTCCATCCTCTTTGTTATTACCCTTCAGATATTTAAAGACTGTTATGAATCCCCCTCAGTCTTCTCTTCTCCAGACTACTTAGTCATGTTTCCCAGGGCTCAAATCACTTTTGTTGCTCTCTTTTGAACACCAGTTTGTTTACATTGTTTCTGCAGAGTGACATGCAAACCTGGACCAGTGAGGTTTCACCAATGCTGAAGAGTGTAAAAGTCACTTCCCTTGGTTTGCAAATGATGTTCCTATTAATGTAGCCCAATATGTTGTTGGGTTTTTTTGCAACAACAATGTGCTTTTAGTTTATGATCCTCTATAAACCACCGGGTCCTTTTCTGTAGTACTGCAACCTTATTTCCCAGTCTATATCTGTGGAGGACATTGTTCTATCTGCAATGCAGGACTTTGTACTGGTCCATGATGATTTTTTTAAAATTAATTTCAGATCATTTTCCTAGTTTTATCAAGATCATTCTGGAATGTAGCACTTCCCTCCAGGGTGTCTGCAACTCCACCCAACTTGGTGTCATGTGCGAAATTGCTAAGGGTGCACTCAATCCTATCTTCCAAATCATTAATGAATAATTAATAATTAATCTGGCCAGCAAATGACACCTCCTTGGCACCAGATAATCCCTCTGCCATATGTCAAAATCCTACTACAAACTAATTGAGGTAGTGGGGATCTTATAAAGGCAGAAAAGTTGTTAATAATTAATTAATTACTTTTGTTAGGTGTCTGTTCACAATTAAACTTTCTGTGGAGGCTGAAGCAAAAACGCTACAGAACACTTCAGTGGTCTTAGTATCATCTGTAATTTTACTCTTCAGAAATGGGCCAAGTCTTCCATTTCTTTTCCTTTTTGTAGAACCTTTTTGTGTTGCCTGGTACATCCCTTGCTTAGAGAAACTAATCTTGTCTTTCATTTAGCCTTTCTGATTCTATTCTTGCAAGTTTGTGCTTTTCTTTATGCTTGTGCTTAGTTAAGTGCCATGTTCGGGTGCGTAAAGTGTTTCTGAGGTAGTTGTAATGGACACTACCTTTCTTTCATATGGGGATAGTTTGCTCCTGTGCATTTGACAGAGCCTCTTTCAGTAACTGCCAGCTCATATGCATGCCTTTAACCCTTTAGCTTCCCCAAACACCCTGTCTACTAGTTTCATGATTTTGTTGCTTTTCTGAACTCCATTATCCTTACTCCACTGCTCTCAGACCTGTCTTTTCTTAGAATAGCAGTCAGTCATTTTTTATCACTTGCACCCAAATTACCTTCCATCTTTTAGATCCTTAATCAATTTCTGTCCCCTAGTCAGAACCAGATCTAAAATAGCTGCTCCCACTTCTGAAACAAAAGGTTTTCCCAAGCATGTCCCAGGTAGTTGATGGAGTGTATGGGTCCTGCTGTATTGTTACACACTTGTAGATTCTGTCCTATGGATGCCTCTCATAGGGCGTATCTACATGTCTACAGCGCCTTTGTTACTGCACCACCACTTAGTACTTCCAAAAGGCAGTACTAAATGATGGTGTAGTAACAGCGTATACTGTGCTGTGCACACCACACACAGTTATTTCTGGCTGCTGTGTCACTATAACAAGGGAGCGTGTTGCTATGGCAACATAGCTGTGGCATCGTGGTTTGTGACCCCAATACTACGTCGCCATAGTACATTCCTATAGAGATGTGGCATCGCCTGCATAATAGTTACTTAAAAATAACTTAATTCATCGTCCTGACTAGATGGTCTGTACCTGACTAGATTAGCTTCCCCCTGTGACATTGCCCTCATTCCTTTTATCTAACCAAAGATATTATCTAAGCTAGAGACATTAAACAAACCTGCCTCTCCACTCTTCAGAACTTCAGGTCAAGTATATATGTCCCTGATATACAAAGCAGTACCTCTTCCCTTATTGCTCCGTCTGGCCAACCTGAACAAGCTATCCCCCTGTACCAAAGTTCTCGTCCTGTAATGTCATTTATGTCATAGTTTTGGGTGTATACAGACATGTCTAGTCATTCCTGTCTATAGTCCTGGCACAATGTTGGAGTTAACAGCATTATCTGAGAGTAAGCAGATGTGTGCTGCACTGTGTTCAATTCAGGGTATAAAGTGTTTCTTTTATGTCTGTTTCAGCCATGGCAACAAGGAAGTATTTTCTTGTCGAGGAATAAAATTAGCTGTAGACTGGTTTTTGGAAAGAGGTCACAAAGATGTTACAGTGTTTGTACCAGCCTGGAGGAAAGAACAGTCAAGACCGGATGCTCTTATCACAGGTAATCTCTGGCCTGCCTTCATTTGCCTGTTGAACAGTGTAGTACAATGTGTGTAATTACTAATGACTGTTTGTGAGCATGAGTGGAGTAAGTTAAGTGCAACTACATATTTTCTATGATGAAGTATCTTTGTTGTAAGACCTTTTCTGTGATCTACAGGTAGGGAAAAAGAAATTGGGGGAATGCATGGTTCATCACCAGCAAAATCCCTTTTAGTCTTGCCCCCTTTTCTGCTTGCCAGTGCCTATTCATACCGCTGAGGACATGTCATTTGTATCTGCTATGTGTACTGAAAATCAGCTTTTTTGATAAACGGTTAATTTGTCAGGGCCAGTGGTGCTCAACCTCTGGCCTACAGGCTTGATACAGCCTGCAGAGTTGTCTCGTTCAGCTTGCAGGGCTTTCCACAGCTCCAGAAATTTGGCAGTGGAGGAGCAGTAGCAGTATTAATTGTTGCTCTCCTGTTGCACACAGTTCTGGAAATTTGTCACTCCCATGGGCCAGGTGACATAGGTCTGCACACTAGATCATCAGTTCATGGTGGGACTAGCTGCCCAATATTCAGGATTGCATATATGTACTGACCTCACATGCATCTGGCCCCTAGACCAGCCCTCTCCCACTCATCCAACCCACACAGCTGAAAGGTTGAGCACCACTGGTCAGGACAGTAACCACAAGGAATTTTCTTTTTCTTGTAGAATGGGTTTCGGTTTAAAAAACGCTAGTAATACAAACTAAGGGGTTATAGTCCTGCATGGGTGACTGACAGACAGGCAAGCAAACTGGAATTTATCACAAGAGGTCACTTCTAGTAGTATAGCAATATCCAGGAGACCATCTTCCCAGGAATGAATACACTAGCAAAACTGGTGAACATTGTACAGCAAGTGAGGCTAACAGTAATCTTGGGAGCACATAGATTACTGGAGCTGCGTGTACATAAATTCATTTAAACAGCAGGGAAGGATTCTCTCCTTTTTGTAGTGAGGTAGCACTAGAAACCCATACTAGCATGCTCTAACTGTTAGGAGCAGTGAGTTTATTTTGAGAAACAAAAATCATCCTGTCTGACTTGATATTGGACGTGCTTGGCTTTTCTAGATGAAAATTAGGGCCAGCTTCATGTCAGGGTAGGATGAGATCTTTTCTCTGCAATGCATTTTGGGTTAGATCAAGAAAGGAAGAGAAACTCCTTCCTTCGGTTTGAAATCTAGAATTTTTTTTTAATTAACCTGAAGAGTTCCCAGCATGACCTGCCCTAAGCAGGTAATGAAAGAACACGTATGGAAAAAGGCTTTATCTTTTCCCACTGATTGAAACTGTGACTACCAAATAGGCTGTTTTGGTATTCTTCAGAATTTAGTATTTAGAATGAAAGGAAGTATAAATGAATAACTGTCATAGTTTCTAAGGGAGAATGGCAGGGTGTTTACATGCCAGTCATCTCAGTATGGTATAACAGGAGTCCCTTCACATTACTGTTTCAAACCATTTAATAAGTCATTGTATGAAAAGAGGGGTTTGGTACTGAAAAGAATGTTTTTGACCTCAAATCTTGAGTGTTTCTAAGGAGTAGAGTAGTTGATATCCCAAATAGTGTAGTCTTTATTCCAAATGAAAAGGGTTCTCTGAAGTTTCTTGTACTCCAAAAAGCTGTTTAGCTCTTTGAGGTCGAAACCTGCTCTTAAGCCTCTCAAGTGCTTAAATTCTAGGTATCATGCGAGTGTTTCTTTGTGTGTTTCAGTGATGCTCAACCTGTATAAATTTGTCATGCTGTGGTGTACCTCTTTGATTCCACTGGTCTGGCTGTTCTAAAGGAACTTGCCAAATGCCAGAAATGTCTCCAAGGTATAAAATACACTTAATTTAATAGGTCCAAAGATGGGGTGGGTGATTTTTGTTTTTTTGTTGGTTTTTTTGGGGGGGAAGGGGGTTGGTTGTTTTTGTTTTTGGGGGGGGGGGGGTGGTTTTGATTTTTTAA